AGCTACCGCTAAAAAAGTTTCGCGGCAACACTGGTCGTCGAACACCTCAGCGTCCGCTGCTGCTAACATCGTAAACGAATGCTCATTTCTTTTCGCTGCCTTATAATCGTTCTTATTGGACTTCGTGTTGCAGTTTGCAGCGTAATGACCGCGCTGCCCGCACTTAAAGCATTTGACATTTTGCATATTTTTACTCGTCCTGTGCGTTGAATTTTCCCCTTTTTCTGCATACTTTGACCACACAGTAAAAGCCTGCGATTCCCCTTCAGATTCAGCAGAACCGCGTTTTGTCTGTTTCTTTCGTTCAGACTCTTCTAGAAGTTTTACCTTCAAATTAGTTAATGTCGGCAGCGTGTCTCTAGTCTCCATAGCAATAACAAAATGCTCGTACTGCTTTGGCAGACTTGAAAGTAAGATAATTGTCACTAATTCGTCTTTGATTTCAATGCCGACTTCGGATAACTTTTCGACAATGGATGTGAAATCATTCAAATATTTTGCCATGCTTTCGCTGTCACTAAGCTTCATATTTAAAAGCTTCTTATACAGCGACACCTTGTGCGCTGGCCCACTTGGCTGATGCAAAGTTTCTAGAGCCTTCCATGCTTCTGTGGACGTTTTGCATTGTTTAATGTGGCTGAGCTGCGACGCTTTTACACTTAGTGTAATTGTGGCCAAGGCTTTATCATCGAGCGCTTCCCACTCGGTCACATTTTCTTCAGGCTTTAAGCATTTTTCACTCACTATATTCCATAGTCCAGCATGTATGAGGACACTTTTCATCTGCACCCGCCACGAATCGAAATTCTTTTCATCAAGTTTGTCAATTTGATATAGCGAATTCATATTGTTATCCGTCTTTCAAACGCGACACACACGCTTTCAATTTTCTTATTAATTTCCGAAATACGTTTTCCCGGAGCCTTTGCACGTAAAACTTTTAACAACATTCGCCCGAACCGTGCTCTGGGCCCATAACCTATGTTGGGCAGAGCCGAGAATCGTAATCAAGAAAAACACGTTTAAGTACAATGGCGTTTATTCAAAGACTAAATATGTTATACAAAAAGATGAAAAAGCAAAGAGAAGAAAATCTTGAAGCAGAGTTGCATTATAGGGTACGATCTATTCGTGTTGTAACTTTAAACCGATTACTTTTTCATCAATAATTTTACCCTAACAGACGACACTTATCAGCATTTGATCAGGAAAATGGAAAGAAGGGAAACAATACGATTGGCTGCTATTTTATTAGCAAAACATCATTATTTATGAATGAATTGACGAGCATAAATCTCAGCAGGATGCATCAAGCTTGGCTTGTTACACTTCCTGGAATTAGAGAAAGGCTGCTGTGGAAATTTATAAGTATATCTTTTTTACCATCGGCGATCTAAATGATATATGTATAT